GTAGACAGCATTAACATAATGTGTGTGTCCCAAGGCTGGACTGATTCTCAGATGAATCTCTAGAGATGTGAAGTTTTAGAGTTGGTGTTTCTGTGTTTGTTCAACTAGACAGTTCTTATACCACAATCACATAGGAAGGTGAAGCGAGAATGTGCTTCAATTATTTATTAGCTCTTTCCTGATGCCCCAGCTAGTGAAGCTGGTAAGACACTTTAGCAGCTCTTATACATACTGAGTTCTAGAATTTCTTAGGAAGGAAGGGCTAAAGGGCATATTGCATTTCTACTTTACTACAGAGATATTTTCTACTGTAAAATGCTATCTTCTTCCCATCCACACGAACAGAGAGGGGCTGGGGACTCTGAAGAAGTATGAAGAGGAGTCATTTCACATGAGGTGGGCTGAATGCCAATAGCTTAATTTTGATATAGCCAAGTGTATATATTATTTATATATTTTAAAATAGAAATAAAAATATTAACCTTAACAGTCAATTTATATATTGTATATACATAATTAATACCAAGTAATAAATATTTTGAGATTTACTGTTATGTGTAGGCAGGCATTTCTAGAATATTAGTGTGCTATGAATTACATGTATTTCAGTGTCAGTAGGATATTTCCTGATCATTGAAAAATAGATTATGTAAATAGAGAGGGGAGAAGGAGTTGAAGGGAGGGCAGGGAAATGGGAAAAATGAGAGCCAAGACCTGTCATGTAAAGGTACAAGATCCCAATAATGAATGTAACTGTACTGTATACCTAAAATGTACCAATAAACTCAATGAGGAAAAAAAAAGAAAAATAGGTTACTTTTCTATTTTTAGCAACTTGTCAGTGTCTTTTGATAATACCTCATTCAGAAGTAAAGATAAATTGGCTGTTTAATTATGTTTTTGTTACTAGAACAAAGTAAACTGGACCTGAACCAGGCTTACTGGTTCATATTTAAGAAAGTCATATTTAAAAATATTTGGGAACATGTAGAAGGGGCATAAAAAAATAAACATGTCTCTCAGGCAACATATGCTGCTATTTTCAATGGTGTAAAAACCAAACACTGAGGAAAGCAGGGAAAATAACTAAATAATTATTGGAGGAAACATTGTTACTGACTATAAACACAATGATAATTCACTTTCAAGGAGGAGGTGAAATTTTATCTGCAGTTTGAAAGATAAGTTGTTTAACATAAAGGAGGTGGAAGACATTTCCAGTGGGAGGGGTGAAGAAAGCAGAAAGAAGAATGCACATAGAAAGGCCAGTGAAAGAGGGACCAGATTGGAGAAGACAGTATTTGTTGGCCCTCCGGAGAATAGTGGGTGTATTAGTCATTTTCCTGTTGCTGTGATAAAGTCTTGATACCCCTAAATTAAAGGAGGAAACCTTTATTTGGATCATAGTTTCAGGGTTTCAGTCCATGATATGCTGTCTCCGAAGCAGAAACATCATAGTGGAAGGATGTAGTGGAGCAAAGCTGCCAGTTCGTGGTGACCCAGAAGCAGAGGGTCAGAGTGCCCTTGAGAGACAACCTCCAAAATCATGGCCCCAGTGACCCACTTCCCTTAGGCCTCATATCCTTAATGGCACATTCAGCCATGGACATCAGCAGATCAATCCACTGACGAGTATAGCAACTTCATGATTCAAACCTCTCCAACTCTGTGGGAGTCTTTTAATTTAGTCATCTTGGCACAGTACAAAATAAATTTTCCAAAGAATTTTATTACTTGTTTTTGTTTTTGTTTTTATAGTGGATTGAATTCAGGTCTTTGCGCTTGCTAGACAGGTAGTGGAACAACTGAGCTAAATCCCTAGCCCTTTATTATTATTATTATTATTGTTGTTGTTGTTGTTGTTATTGTTGTTATTAATACAAAGATACAAAAAGCCAGGCAAGGGAGTTTGGATGTAATGTTTTAAGCTATAAGAAGCTACCAGTGAGAATTTTCTTTAAAAGACTTAACTATGTAGGAGTTTTTAAACTGTGGTTTGCAGAACTAAATCTCCAGGCTCAACCTTTTTTGGAATAATCTAAGATTCTTTCTAAAGACTTAGATTTTTATACTCTCATTTAAATTTATAGACTCACAGATTTTGGAATATGTTTTTGTAACAAGCATCACTAATTTTTATCCACACTGGATTTCGAATGTGAAACTTCGAGTACAAGAATATTTGCCTCCTGTTGAAAAATACCTTCCCTTCACTTCCTACTTTATGTGCAATCTTGACAATGTATTGTGCTAAGATTGATTTCTTTCTAGTGCACTTCCTAACATCATCTTGCTTTGCAAAAGCACATAAACATAGACACATACATGTACAGACCTCCTCTTCATTGGGATGTGATAGACCTGAATCCTAGCCAAGCCAAATAACCAAAGAATACATGGTTATTATGTGTTTGAGGGTAGGAAGGTGAGCAAGATCATTTTAGTAATTGGGTTGCCAAATCTGGGATTATGCTCTGCTAAAAAAATTGATTTGTAACTGATCCAGCTATATACTTACTTATATAATAATAGTGACACAACATATGAAATAATTTTTGTATAAGAATATTTAGTGTAAATGGTTTAAGACTATTAATATACTAAAAAGACATTGAGAAGAATAGAAAAAAGGACATGCTGTGGCCATATAAATCAATAAGGTCATTTTATTGTCCTTGCAGAGGTGAAAATTCTCCATGATAAAAATTGGAACTGTGATTAAGCATAAGCTTTAGCAAAAAACAGATTTTTGAACATGATTTATTATTACTGCTGCTAAAGACAATATTATACTTTTTCCTCAAAATTTTCATGTTCCTGACCTGATCAGACATTGTAAATTCTTTGAAAAAATTCTGTTCATCTTAGTTGGATTTCAAATACTGCCACATTGTTAACAGAGATATTCTACATCAATAAATAGACCTTATTATAATATTGAAAAGTATTTATTTCAGCAATATTTCTTATTTAAATGAGAGAAAATACAGTGATTCAAAAGAACAAGAAAAATTTATTCATGGCAAAAACTAATTTGCTTCTAGAAATTTTATTTTGGCAAAATGAGGGTGTGAATATAATCACTTTTGTTAGGAAGACATTCAAGTACATTGCTTTAATATGGTCACATTTTAAATTAAGCAAGATTACTTTTGGAGGACTTCATAATGCACCAAGGAAAAACTATCCACTAACCACATTTCCTTTCTACTGCAATGTAGTATATCTTGGTTTTCTAGCCTATGAGCCAAAACAGTATTGTATAAATTCATGAGAAAAGTTTCTTCCTTGAAGTATGAGAATGCATTGCAGCAATACATTTATGATCATTTGTACCTTCCTGCTTTTTTTTTTTTTTGGTACCGGGGATTGAACTCGGGTCCTTGCGCTTGCAAGGCAGGCCACCGAACCGCTGAGCTAAATCCCTGGCCCCCTTCCTGCTTTTTGAAGCAAATCAACATATTTCTGTTCCATGAACATGTCCCATAAATACTTGCATGATGTAGCTGTATTCTCGAAGTTGTCACTTCCTAGTGTGTCCTCTTCTGTTTCTCTTGCCTAAATGCTGTTGTATTTGCCACTCATTTTACATCAATTCTTTATGATATTTTTTCTGATTTTTTTAACCAGATATGATCATTTTTTCCTCTGTACCATTATAACTACGTAAATAATTTCCTTACCTCATTCTTGGTATTTTTTTCTGTTATTGTTTTCACTTTGTGTTGTTTTTTCTTTTGGATTGTGAATTTATTTTGAATAAATTGAATTTTAATTTCCTATGTCTTTTATCTAGTACATGTCTCAATACCTTATATAATACAGGAACTCTGTAAATATTTGTTAGATTGAGAGTAATGAGTCACAGATATATAAAAAACAATGTACTACATTCTTTATCATGCTATCTGGAAAGTATATTTTACAAAACACACGAAATTACAATTTAAAAATAAAAGTTATGTAGCTTTCAAATTGCTTTATCATAAGCCTTTCCTAATGTGATCTATTTCCACCAACTGGAACACTAAACTTTTAAAAATTCAGTGGAAATTTCTAAGAATTCGTATCGTAGGAACTCTAATAAAAAAGGAAATAATATTTAAATCAAAAGTACAGAGATGAGGTATAAAGTGTCACAGTCATTAAGCTTCTATTAAACAAAATGAAATATAGTTTATATTTTTAAAAAGACATTAGAAATATAACCATTGTGAATCACTTAGGGTATTTAATACCTTAAATTTGATTCCTAAGTAAACAAGGGGAAATCATAACAGCTCCTCCCTGGTACCATCTCTGTAATATGACTTTGATTTTGAATAGTTATAAGATGTTAATATTCTTCCAGCTATTATATTAAACACACAGGTTTTGTTGAATATTCATAAATTTAGTCTAGGATTATTCTATCCTGTGTCACCCACTTTATGATCATTCTTTACTACCTAAACACAAAGGCAATAGCATTGTCTCTGACCTCTATATTTATTCTATTCGTAGTAAGTGAGAGTTGTTATCTCCTCCCTCCTCTATTATTAAAGGGTAAGATGGAGAAGAGACTAGAATTGGCAAGTAGGAGAAGGGTGTCCACTGTGATAAATTACACCTTTTCTATAAAATAAAAGAATACATAGTAATACAATATAATTATATAGAAATTATGGATGAAGTGGCTGTTAATTGAAAATTCCTCTCAATTGATGTAATAATACAAACCTAGAAAATCACTATTAGTTAACTTTTTCAGTGCATTGCATAGGCAAAATATTATTTTTAATCTGCACGTAATTAATATTTTATAAGTTTGAGTTTCCTAGGATGATAAAATCAATAAATATTATGTTCATGCTGCTATTAAAATATAAATTATGTTCTTATTCATGTTAGCAGCTTAGTATATTTTCTCTAATTGTGTAGATATTTTACTACTTAATATTGATTTAATTATTCTCCCTCCAAACAAAAACTTTATTCTTTAATAATAAACCCTGTTTAAGCTAATATCGACATCGTACAAGTTTTTGGAATGCTTTCTTGAAGTCTTCATTAAAGATTGTGTAAATAAGTGGATTTATAAGGGAATTGAGATAACCAAGCCATGCCAAAAAGTTTGACATTTCTTCAGAAATTTTACATCTTTCACAGACATTAACAATCAATTCTTTTACAAAAAAAGGCAGCCAACATATTACAAATGCACCCAAGATTAATCCCAGGGTAGTGGCTGCTTTGCGTTCTCTTGTGCCTGAGAGCTTTTGCCTTCTCCAAGATTTTTCATGCCTGAATTCAGACCTGAGACTTTTCATTGTGTTATGAATTTTATCAAAATCTGTTGATGGCTCAGATAAAGATTTTTCCAGCATGTAGGGTGTGGAAACCATCTTAGTGCTTTTTTCACCACTCTCCAAAAGGACTTGGCCATTCAGCTCCTCCTTTGCAATTCTACTTGCTTGTCTTTTGTGGTATAATGTTTTTGCTGCTCTATATATTTTGTAATAAAGAATCAAAATCAACACAAGTGGAATGTAAAATGCTCCAAATGTTGAATAAATAGTGGAAACAATATGGTCATGCTTGATGACGCACTCATCATCTCGGCTGGTTCCTTGGTGTCTCCAGAACAGAGGAGGCATAGAGATAAAGACAGATATAATCCAAACTATTGTAATCATAATGCCAGCTTGCTTGGGAGTCCTTTTCCTGGCATACTCAACAGCATCTGTGATGGCCCGATAGCGATCCAAAGCTATAGCTGAGAGATGCAAGATGGAACAGGTACAACAGATAATATCAACACTCAGCCAAATGTCACAGACCACTTGCCCCATAATCCAGCTCTCTCTTACAATATACACAATGCTGAAGGGCATCACCAACACTGCTACAAGGAAATCTGTGACAGCCAGGGAGCAAATTAAATAGTTGGCTGGGTGGTGCAGCTTCCTGGTCACAATTATTGCAGCAATGACGAGGGAATTGATGGTCGTTGTCATCAGTGCCAGCCCCGAAAGAGTGAGGGACACCAGGATTTTGGATGGCATTCTGTTTAACCGTTCCTCTGAGGTCAAGTTTTGATCAGAAGAGTTTAAGAAATCCATTTTTTTGTTTTAAAAAATCAATACAGCTGAAAAATGAATACCTGTAACAAAGGAGGGGGAAAGAGTTCAGAGAAAGCCTCAAGAACTTTTCTCTTCCTTTTAAAATAATCTTTTAAAAAGTATATGTGTTTTGTTTGTCTAGAACATTCCATAGATTAAAAAAATGGAGTTCAGAGTGCAGATATTTTTCAATTAAAAACATCTAGTGAGAACAGTAACAAATAATAGCTTTCAAAACGTTTCTTTTAATGTGACTTACATAAAACAGTATTTATGAGTAAACTAGCCAATTATGCAGTAAAATCTCTACCATTATAGAATTTCTTTTAATAACTACATTAACCCTATGATTTTTTCTGTGTATATAGCAGGAAATGTTTGAAAGCACATGTCATTAAATATATACTTATGTATTACATAATCCAATGAAAAAAAACATATTAAAGGCAGTATTCAAAATCATAAACAATATCGTACTTAATTCAAAGTTACATTGAGGGCATTATTATTGGGCTTGTGGAGACTAAAGAAACTTTAAACATATTTTAAATCATGGGGTAGAGGTTACATTAGAGGAAATGGGGAAAAAAGTAATGTAGCATTCTATAATAATTTTATGAGATGAGGTAAATGTCAGAGTGTTTAGTGGTCTTTGTGGATGTAAATAGTTAATTTGGTTTACAAAAATGAAATAATACCAGTTGGAGTCAAATAGCCTTACAACATCTTCCATTATAACAGTGGCACAGATGACCAAATAACCCATTTACTGAGGGGAACTTGCCAGGGAGTTGAGCTCACTCTGAAATGAAAGTGACTTTTCTTCATAAGCCACCATTGTAATGTCTATGTTGCCTTGCTTCTGAAAGGGAACTCGCTACCCATGGCTTAAAATTGCTGCTTTTGTCTTTGTTATTTTAATTGGAAGTCAAGTAACAGCAATTGGACTGTAATGAAATATGGTTAACACTTTTATAAGATAGTCTTCCTCCCAATTAGTCTTCTTTTCTTTTGTTTAATAATACTTTCTTTAGCAGCTACTTAGACCTTAAGACAAAGGGAAATAGAAGCCTGAAATTTTTTTTATCTTATTGAGACAATTGGTACTTTTAAAGTATACAGTAGAGTTACATTCATCATTGGGATCTTGTACCTTTACATGACAGATCTTGGTTCTCATTTTTCCCCCATACCCAGCCCTCCCTTTACCTCCTCCAACCTCCCCTATTTACAAAGACTTTTTTTTCCATTTTTTCCTTTTCTCATAATTTTTCTTGTCCCTTATTTCCTCTCCCCTACCCTTCCTACTTCCCCTACACCTTTAGCCCTTTTCTTCTTATTTCACTTTATCAGCTATACAATTTAGATCTTATATGTAATACTTTTTTTTTACTCATTGAGTTTATTGGTACGTTTTAGATATACAATACAGTTACATTCATTATTGGGATCTTATACCTTTACATGATAGGCCTTAGTTCTCAGTTTTTCCCCTTGTCCCTGCCCTCCCTTCACCCCTCCTCCCTCCCCCTTTACAAACACTTCATTTCCATTTCTTCATTTTTTTCATATGCTTTTCTTTTCCATTATTACCTTTCCCCTACCCTTCCCACTTTCCCTACACCTTTAGCCCCTTTCTTCCTACTTCGCATTGTCAATTATCTCATTAGGATCTTATGTACTATTATAGTTTACTCACACCAGAGAAACTATTTGGTATTTACGCATGTGTGATTTATTTATTTCACTTAGGAGTATAACCGCAATATGTGTCCATTTTCCTGTGAATGAATATAATTTCTCATTCTTTATGGCTGAGTGATATTCCATTTTATAGAAAAACCACTTCTTCTTTATCCATTTTCCAAGTGATGGGCAAATGGGCTGTCTCCAAGTTTTAGCTATAACAAACTGTGCTACTATAAACATAGGTGCACATCTATCTGGCTAGGTCAAATGCAACCTCTAGTCCCAGCTCTTTGAGGTAGCTCCATATTGATTTCCATAGTGGTTGCAGCAGTCTGCCCTCCCACCAACAATGGAGAAGGGTTCCTTTCTCCCCACAATCCCGCCAACATTTGTTATTGTTTGATTTCTTGATAGCAGCCATTCTTTGTGGCGTGAGGTGGAATCTCAGTGTTGTTTTTATTTGCATCTCTCGAATGACCAGTGATTAAAGATCTAAATATTAAAACAGAAACACTAATCTTGCTGGAAGATAAGTTAGGCAGAACTCTTGAAGACATTGGCATAGAAAAAGGTTTTATGAACAAATTCTCAGTAGCACAGGAACTGGCAGAAAGAATCAACAACTGGGATTTCATCTTCTTGAAAAGCTTCTGCACTGCAAAAGAAACCATCAACAGAACTAAGAGACAACCTACAAGGTGGGAAAAAATTTTTACCAGCTGCTCCTCAGACAAAGGACTATTATCTAGAATAAATAAAGAACTCAAAACAATCAGCCCCCCCAAATATAAAGACCTGATTAAAAAATGGGCATCTGAAATGAACAGATATTTCTCAAAGAAGTAAAAGCAGCAAGTAAATATGAAAAAATGTTCTACAATTTAGATCTTATTTATACTTATTTATACTTTTAGTTTTTCACACCAGGGAAACTATTTGGTATACCTGCAATTTTATTCTTAGGTGTAATTGTTACTATAGTGTCAAATCCCTTAAATTATGTAAATATTTATTATAAATTATGAACAAATATTATCACATAATTATTATTTAATTACTTATATTAGTTAATGATCTTTACTTTAAAGTGGTAATTTTTCAGTTGTTGAAAGTGACAATGAAATAATTTAAAATATTTAGAATTTTTATATCAATTGCTTCCTTTGAATATAAATAATTATACATGATGTAGTTAAATATATTATAAAATATGAATTGTATTTGCTTTTGGATTACCATACTAAAAGTAGTTTTCAATTTCAGATATTCATTGAAGGAAAGTGCTGATAAGCAAATTGAATGGCAGAAAAAATTTGAATATCTGCTGTTGAAAAAGTTAGTGGTTGTTTAGTATGTGATTGAGGAGTTGTTACTATCTATACAAAGCCAATAAAGCATATTAGAAATATGGTAGACTAATTAATTTCTACCTTACTTCCAGTATCCCATTCTCTCATTATAAAATTTGTGCTACATATTCAATTAAAAAGACAATAGTTTCTTATTGGTTAATTTCTTTACAATGGTGTTTGCTTAGTGCTGTGGCAATTGATTTAAAAGTGCTGACATTTCACACATTATAAGCAAAAATCATTTTTCACTGTATTTTCCTGAGAGTTTGGCATAGGAGATAATCCTGAAATTATATTTGGAGTAGAATAGTGAATAAGAAAAACTGGAAATAGTTATGTCGATTTTCATAATAAAAAATCCATGCTATAAGAAAGTGGACTAGCTTAAAATTAGAAGCTGAATTACTTGATAAATCAGTAAATTTTTCTGGATGTTTATTAATTTGGTTTTTGTAGTCAGTCAAATTAACTGTTATAAAATGGTACTTTACATTAGGGAAAACATCAAACCTTTATCATAGTTTAGAATTAAATGACAAAATTTATGTCATATAAATTATATTACAGCTAACCAGAAACATTCTGAATATTAAATTTAGAAACCTAATTGATTTGCTGATAGTTGTATTTGCAGATAACAAGGAAAATGAGAGAGTGAATGCAGTCAATCACAATTGGGTTTCATGTTCCTTTTGGATTATTTTCTTTTTTGTTTGCAATTAGAAATTTAATAAATCATTTACCATCATAAATTTAGGCATGTTTTCTCACCAGATTTCTTTATGTTCCTTTATATTTGAAGTTCTTACTGTGTATTTTCACAGTACTAGGGACCACTTTTGGGTTAGTGAACATGCCTCTCCTACTCTAAAAACATAGCCTGAATTATGTAATTCAAATGTTTTACTTGAAATAATCAAGATTATTCTAAATTGAGCCTATTGTCTCATCAGGCACATCTAGCTTTTTTGATCATAGCAGAAAGCAAAAACTTCCTCAGGCTTTACACAGCATGAATATTTGCTACTTTGTTGATTTAGTCACATGATGTGGTTAGTCCTTGTTTTATACACAGCATTTTAATTCTAATATTTAACTTATCTTAAAGTGTGTGTTTGATTTTGATGTTCCACTTTGTCTTTTAGTTAAACTATTAGCTCCTAGATGCATAGTTAAATTAATGGAGGGTGTCATAGCCAAATAGTATTTATAATAACATTGTAAAAAGGTAAGAGAGTAAAATTTAATTCTATCAATATCTTGCAAGAACATACAAGTTGGATGATTCATTTAGATTAATAATAATATTCATCTTTTCTGACTGTTTGCATCTATAGTCATTATAATAAGTGCTTTACCTGTATTAAGCTACTTAATCCTTAAAGCTCCCCTGTAAGGTAAGTCTCATTATCATATTTCTTTTTATAAATAAGAAAACTGAGAAATAGAAATTTAATCAACCTCTCTATAAAGGCAACATAAATAAATGGTGGAACAAGCCTATTATCTCAACTACCATTTATGCTTAAGAAATTACTTAATGACTATTTTAGTTATGATGCCTCCAAAGTACAGTACTTGTATAAAATAAACATTTTGTTATAAAGTGAGATGCATGTTTAAATGGAAGCAATATCCAGTGGAATAAAGGTAATGCCAATAGGAAAATATTTTTAGTGTTTTCTAAATTGTTTTACTGCTTTTCTAATTCCAAAATTTCCTCTGCTCTTTTATTGCTTTGCTCCTACTTATTCATGTAAGAATTATTTATTGGGGCTATTTATGTGCTGAATAATCTGATGGTTGTAGAAAAAAACAGACATTTTTCTTGTCTTTTAGAAGATAGACACAACAATGAAGCAGCGAAACACAGTTATACAGAGCAGTAAAAAATTTCTGAAGGCATATGTGAGGAATCCTCTAAATCCCAGGGAAGGGAAATTAATCATATTGTTCCAAAAACAATGAAAGTCTTTCCAGGAACAAGATAA